GGGCTGCCGGCCGCGCCAGGGGCCTGCGGAGGGGGCCCCGCACCTGCCGGCCTCATGTCCCTTCCCGCCGAGCGGGTCTCCCCGCCCTGCCGCTCTGCTGTCCCCAGCAAAGAGGGACGTTGCAGGCGTTGGCGTGCCTCACCTGGAGCCCCGTCTAGCCATCTTGTTCTCTTCCACGTCCTTGCCCCGCACCAAGGTGCTGCTTGATCACCGGCACCACAGTGATCCAGCCCGATAAAGCCTCCGAGACCTATAGAAGCGGAGAGGCTGTTCCTCCCTGCTGCGCTTTGTCCCCCTGGCATACAGCGGGAAGGGGAGCGCGGTCAGATTCAGCTCTGCCAAAGGTTGACCCTGATGTCTTTAGGCTGTGGAGAAGTGCCCTGTGAACGTGCCTTGCTCCTGCATTTTGCAGATCTTCACCTAGAGGAAGTAACTCTGTCTTTGTGGCGTGTACGGTACCTAAATCTAGGCCTTTTCTGTAGGTGAAGTTCCTTCACTGTGGTTTCCACAAATACCTCTTACGTGGGTACACGTGCGAGCGCGCTCTGACCCTTCGCAGGCCGCAGACAAATGCCCTGAAGATGCAAGGGAGTCTCCTGGCTGTAGGCTTCCGTCCTCTCCTCTGCCAAACTGTCCCTTTGGATCAGGGCAATATTTTCCTGCTTTAAATGTCTAAGTGGATTCGTTGATTTGAAGGGTTGTGCAGTGTAGGGTCTCCAAAGTCCTGGTCTGTTACCGGCAGGCGAGAGGGAACATCATTCCTATGCTGACCCGCGCTGTACGCGGTGCCACTGGCGTTGTTCGTCCTGGCTATGCCGGTGCCGCACCCGTTAAACTCTTGCTGGCGCTAGCTGGCCATGCGGTAGTGGGAAGGGGTGTATCGGCGCAGTCCGGTGTGTCCTGAAACCTGAGGGGAGGAGAGTCGTGTGAGCAAGGCAGGGAAGTCCCAGGGCTGCTGAGGAGCTTCTCCCTTACAGCCGAGCTCACTCTCTTCCCAGCGTGCTCACTCTCCTCCCAGCGTCATGCCTTTCAAACAGAAGAATCTGCCTGTTGAAAAAGTGTCGATTCTCTATCAAGCGGCATCAGATCAGATTTAGAAAAGACCTTTTGAGTGTTGACTTCACTAAACCGTTGTCAGTCGCACAGACGGCTCTCTGCGTTCCTCTTCCTATCCCTATCTCTTTTACCCTGAAGGAGTACTGAATTTTTAGGCTGCCAGACTAGTGTCTTCTAGCACTGCTTTGCTGCTGAGGAATGGTGATTTTTGGACCCACTGCGAGCGAGATGGCCGGAATTTGGTTTGTGCTTAGTGGGGAGGTTGCTGGGTAAGAAAAGGAACGAAGGGGCAGCGGCTTCTTCTCATGGTCGTAATGACATTGAGAACACGGCTTTGTAATTTGAGGTGCTGGCACAGAGGTATGAGATGGCGAGCAGAGTGCTTGGCCAGGAGTTAATGTGACAGGCAGGAAGGAGTGAAACATGACTGCGAGTTTGGAGTTAAGTGTCTAACTTTTTTGCAGGCTGCAGATACTTTGGCTGTACGACAGAAGCGACGGATTTACGATATCACGAATGTCCTGGAAGGCATCGGGTTGATCGAGAAGAAATCCAAGAACAGTATCCAGTGGAAGTGAGTGACAGAGAAGCTCTAAATCATTCACAGGTCCCTTCTGGTCCCAGGTCCTGTCGTACGGGTGCCTTTTTACTCTGCAGGCAAGCAGGGCTTCGTGGGGCTGTTGTCTAAGTGACACTGCGGTTAAAATGCCCCACTGAGAGCAAGGTTCCTCGGTGGTCTGCGCATGCTTGTACTTCCCCCAGCTGGGCTATGCTGACGGTAGTAATGAGGAAAGCTGAAGCACGTATGGCCTGTCTCTTTTACAGCGGAGCTGTTATTTTGGTACAGACTAAGTATCTGCAGTGCCTTGGGCTAGAAAAGATGCCTCTATGGCACTGGAGAGCGGGGAGAGCCCTTCCAGTCTGTGGGACGTAGGCAGATGTACCAAACGTTGCTGTGCGGGAAGGTGGGGATCTAGAACGGGTACAGATGAGGCTTTCTGGGCGATCTGGCCTTGATGTATGACGGGTGACAGTAAGGGGGGTGGCAACCTCTCTGCAAGGTTGGGGCTGGTCTGGGTGCCTCCAGAGGCTGATGCACATCATTCCTTTTTACTTTGCGCAGAGGCGTGGGTCCTGGCTGCAACACACGTGAAATAGCTCACAAACTTATCGAGCTGAAAGCAGACATAGAGGACCTGGAGCAGCGGGAACAGGAGCTGGAGCAGCAGAAGATGTGAAAATACAGAAGATGTGCAGAACAGTCGATATCCTTTGTGTGAACTGATTACTCTGTCTCCGTGTTCACTTGCTGGGCTGGAAAGCAGAGACCTGAGGGATCTGCACTGAAAGGGTCAAGAGGCAGTGCCTGCCTTTGAAATTAGGGTAACTCTGTCCAGCCTGGGAACCAGCTTTCTCTGCGGTGCACAGCTTCTCATCTGGCTTTTTGAAGTAAAAACCATTGTAATGTTTACCATGATGAGAAAAGTGCTTCTCTCCGAACCACAGGTGCCGTTTTCTCGAGCGTAGAGCTGCTCTTGTGGCTTGCCTATCTTAGGGTGTCAGCTCTGACGAGTATGTAGCTTGCAGACCTCACCTGCAGACCACTTCAGAGTGTGGTGTGGAGAGCCTTCTGGGAATGGCGTTCCTTGTGCTCGGGAAGGAAACGCCAGGTGCCCTTTGAGTTCTCTGTCTGTGCAGGAAGCTGCAGCTTTTCTCCTTAACCTTGGAAACATTAGCGTATGTGACCCATGAAGATATCTGCAAGTGCTTCACAGGTGAGGAAATGGTGCTCCATCGTAAAGATGTAACGCTGCAGTCCTATCGCTCTGTCCCAGCTGCTCTCCTTTCTCCAGGAAAGAGGAGGCAGCGGACCATGGGCTGCCCAACAGCATCAAGTTAAATGTCGTGTGAGCTCTGACGCCATCCTGGGTTTGTGTACCACTGAGTTGTAGCTTTTTTGTCACCATCCGAGGGGGCAGGCGGTTTCTTTTACTTGTGTTTAAAGGAACATAGCTGCTGTTCCTCAGGAATTCTTTTTTGCTGGGTGTCACTGTGTGGGGGCGTGTGTGTTACGTTACAAGCCCTTGATTTTAAGGGCTTGGGTGGACAATGTTCTAATAATGGGAAGCAAATTTTATTGCATGGTAGAAATCTGGGTGTAAGCAAGAAAATAGTATAAAAAGTGTTCCCCCAGCTGCATCATGCCCTCTACCAACAGGAATGCAAGGAGGAGGTAGTGAACAGCAGGACAGAAGGGAATATGCTGCTTGCTGTGACCTCACTCCCTTATGTACTGCCTTCCTAAAGCTGTGAGGTGCCTGTATAAAAAGCCATGTCTTCTGTCTCTGTGGGGCAAAAGTGAAGAAACCCACAGGAGTCTCTGTTTCTTCTCTATTGCCAATTTTAAGGATAGCTGTAGGACCAAAAAAAAAAAAAATACCCCTGGTGGCCAGCATGCAATTCGGCAGCCTGCAGTACATAAACTGTTCTTCTCAGCTGTAGTGGTGTGGAGTCGCATCTCCTTTCTGCTTCAGTGGACACCTGACCTCTCCTCACCCCGTGCAACTTGCATCTGCTTGCTTGCAGCAGAGATTGAAGCTACTTCTCCTGACCGCCCCCAGCCATGCGTAATCTCGCCCTTGTCTGACTCTCTCCTTGTCTCTTCCAAGTGATCTTCTCACCCTACACTTCATCAGCTCTTCTGTTTTTCATCTTTGCCTTTGTGTGCTTTCTGTGTTCACCAGGCTTTGTACTGCTCGAGTTCCTGCTGGTAACTTATCATCACCACCCCCTTTGCTTTACTGTTTCTTCTGATTTAAGCTAGCACTTTTTGGGGGCAGGGATTGTATTTTCAGTTTGGTAGTGCTTGGGGCCAGATGACTCGTAACAGTTTACTGGGGACCAGCAGACAGCTTATTACTTGGTTGATTGAGTGTTTTGCATTTTATTGCACCTGTTTTTTGTAAACCAGTTTGTGTCTGAAGTCAGACCTCATCAAAATGCGCAGAGAAGATGAGATCTTACTGAGGGCAGACCTGAATTCCTCCCAGAACAGAGGCTTGATCCACCCTTTTCCATTGTCTGTTCAGTGTGTGCCCAGTTTTGCTGTATGAATATGCCTTACATATTTTTTTTTTCCTCTCTGAAGTGTCCGAGCCTCGCAGAGGTTCTTTGTTGGACCCCTTGTGTTCTTGAACTGTGGTGCAGGCTGAATTTCAGCTCCTGTTTTTTTTTTTTTCTGATTGACTGCTATTGAATTTGCTTTCTCAAAGTGAGTTAGGGCTTGAAGATTTCCGTGCTTGGATTCTTGTCAAATATGGATTCATTATTTGGATTAATTAAAAAAAAAAAAGTGAGTGTGTGTTAGCTTTCAGTGACTGGGAAACATAATTTTCCCATCTGTTGCTGTGATGTATTTTGCACTTGCAGAATCAAAAAGGAAGTGGAAACACACTGTACGCTGTTTTGTAAAAGTATTTGGGACGTAGCTATCAAGGGAGATAGAAATGCAGTGCCTGAATTGTTGAAGCTAACAGGTCTTAAAGCTTGAGCTTGTGTCTTTGAGCTTTATTAGGCATTTTTAATGTCTTTTAACAATAATTTTCTTGAGTGCAATTTGTTAAAGGAATCCCATCTTATTGACAAATCCTGTGGTATTTTTAATCCCTGTACCTTTTGCTGATCTGATCTTTATTTGCCTGCCTAAAATTAAAGGATGTGCTCTTCTGCTGTCCACTCTCTCTCATCGCTCTGGGGATCTTCTATGTTAATTATCAAGTGAAGCTTAATGCAGAATACCGGTGAAGTGCGAATACTAACCACACTAAAGCTTAAACATTCAAAGTGAAAGCTGCTAACTGCTCAGTCTGAATACGTCTGATGTTCACAGCGCTGGTACTTCTCTGTTCACGCTTCTCTAAACCCGGATATGGAGTGGAAGCTGCTCACCTGAGACTGTTGTGTTATTAGGGGCGCAGGTCTTAAGGAGCTGCAGAACTTGAAAAGGAAAGATGCTGTCAGCCTGGCTCCCAGCCCCGCATGTGCTGGGCTCTGCGCAGGCTCCAATACAACTAACACCAGCCAGCTCTCTTGCCAGCAGAGACTGGGGAGTGTTGGTTTCGGGTGTTGGTACTGCAGCATGAGGCTGCCATACTGTTGGCAGCCTGGCTCCTGAGCCTAGTGCGACACCATCTCTCCGCTGGCAGTGCAGCTCTTTGAGTTGCGCGCTCTTTTGTTTATAATTCGCACCTAAAAGCTTGTGACAACAAGATGAAGCATCCTTCGCTTAGGATTCAGATGTTCTTACGAGTCAATTTAAGCCAGCCCTTCTGAGGGAAAGAAAGGTTAGTCCTGTTGAGGATGCTGCTAAGAAACTTCAGGGTTGCTTTGGGAGAAACTTCACAGGTTCTTTGTGCCCTGGGCAGTTGGGGCACTGGGAGCTGTAGGATATGCTTAGCAGCTTAGGTGGGTGTAAATGGCAATCCTCCAGGGAAGGGAGCGCAGGAGATAGGGGGCTTTGAGGAGAGGCTCTTTGTCAGTGCTTAATTATCATGAGAACAGTTCGTGCCCACTGAGTGCTGACCAGTCTGTTTTCACAGGAGACACCCTCCTTGCGATTCGAGCCCCATCAGGCACGCGTTTGGAGGTTCCCATCCCTGAGGTGAGTGGTAAATGCGTGGGCAGAGAGCAGGAGTGTCTGTGTGTGTGTGTGTCGGGGCGGGGGTTGTTGCTGGATTGGCCAGGCTGGGAGTTGGCAGTCAGGGCTTTGATGGAGTCGGAGGAACTGGCAACCCAAGGGAGGCTCCAGATATTAAATAATTGCCAGGAAAGTCTGTTGTTTGGAAGTACGTGAGTAATTGCAGGAGCACCAGGGGAGAGGATAGTCTTGGGAGTCAGGGGAATTGTGTGGAACCATGCTGGAGAACAAGTCTTACGAGGAGCGGCTGAGGGAACTGGGGCTGTTTAGCCGGGAGAAGAGGAGGCTGAGGGGAGACCTCATCGCGCTCTACAACTCCCTGAAAGGAGGTTGTAGCGAGGTGGGGGTCGGTCTCTTCTCCCAAGTAACCAGCGATAGGACGAGAGGAAATGGCCTCAAGTTGCGCCAGGGGAGGTTTAGATTGAACATTAGGAAAAATTTCTTTACTGAAAGAGTGGTCGGGCCTTGGAACAGGCTGCCCAGGGAAGTGGTGGAGTCCCCATCCCTGGGGGTATTTAAAAGACGTGTAGATGAGGCGCTTAGGGACATGGTTTAGTGGGCATGGGGGTGTTGGGTTGACGGTTGGACTCGATGATCTTAGAGGTCTTTTCCAATCTTAATGATTCTATGATTCTATGCTGAACTGTCTGGACAGCATGTCTTGCCTCTGGGAAATTTGTGTTCTGCTTGAAAAAGGCATTTAACGTATGGTTGTGTTTTGCTTTTGACTTTTCTCAGGGCCTAAATGGGCAGAAGAAATACCAGATCCATCTGAAGAGCACAAGTGGTCCCATTGATGTTCTCTTAGTAAACAAAGATGCTTGGAGCTCTCCTCCTGTCGTACTACCTGTCCCTCCCCCTGAAGACCTCATTCAGTGCCAGGCAGTTGCACCCTCAAAACCGCAGATACCACCGCTCGCCCACTTCCAGGAGGCATCCGTTCCCAGCAGCACCCAGCCCTCCACACCGACACCTACCAGCACTCAGGACCATAGCCCTGCCGCGCAGAAAGCCGCAAGCACAGGTGAGAGGGAGGTTACAGGAGCAGAAATGGGATGGTGGCCGACAAAGGAGAGTGCGTTCCTTGGCCTGGCTGGGGCTGGCACTGCTGGTCGTGGAGCATTGTCGGCTCCTGGCAAAGGGGGCACCTCTGCCTTGGCTGCAGTGAGCCTTTTCTTTTGTCTTGATTAGTGGGACTGGCTGCGTTAATGGAAATAAGACACTTGGCTTGAGGGGGTAGTGCCAGCCTGTAGGAGCAGCGGTGGGGGAGAGACCGATCATGCAGATATATTGATTAGCAGAAGTTTGTAAAAGGGTCTTCGAGGCTCAAGTTCAACTTTCAGTTTGAAAAAAGACTGTCAAAAATACTAGATTAGGTTGGTTGTGGCATTGTCCACCCAAATTTTGAAAGCCTCCAGCGGTGGAGATCCCCAGCTTCCTTGGTGAGCTCTTCCAGCGCTGCAGCACCCTCTCAGTGAATTTCTTTTTCCTGATGTCTGGATCCTTTGAGCTGCATCTCGTGCCTGTTGTGCATGTTACATCGTCTGGCACCACCGAAAAGTTCTTGATTTTTGTAACTGCCTTTCAGGTAGCTGCAAGCGGCTATTAGATTGCCCTTAGACTTCTCTTTGCCTGACTGAACAAGCCCAGCTCTCTCCACCACCCCTTGTAGGCCATGTGCCCTAGACCCCTGGCCAACTTGGTAGCCCTCAGCTGGATCTTCTCCACGTCTTTCTTGAAGTGGAGGATGACCAAAGCTGGACACAGTATTCCAAGTGCAGCCTCAGCCCCAAGCAAGAGGATAGTAACTTCCCTCAATGTGCTGGCTATGCTTCTCCTGGTGTAGCTTACTACCTGGCTTGTGTTAATTGCTGTGAGAGCATGTTCTTGGCTTATGTGCAGCCTGGTACCACCAAGACCGCTCTCCGGCAGAGCTGCAGCAGGACCTGGGAGTTTTTATTGGGTGAAAGCAAGAAGCCGTCTTCCTATGCAGCTGTCTGTGCTTGGCCAGCATTGCCAGTGAGGGTTGAGTCTGTGCTGCAGCCGCTTGCTTTGGGGCTGGTGGGAGACGACATTCCTGAGTGTGCCTGTGGCTCTTTCCAGAATGCGGTGTCTCAGCGGCAGAGTCCAAGAGCAGCAGCGACTTTGACCCCCTCAGCAACGCGTCCGCATCGGCTGGCCAGCCTGACGGGTTAGATACCCAGCCGCTACAATCCTCTGCCTCGCTGGACAGCAGCTCCGTCCTACCCAGCCCCTCTACCTCCTTCGAGCCGATCAAGCCTGATCCCACAGGAAGTGAGTATGCACCTCGTTTCCTGTGTTGCTCCAAAAGCATGCTGCTTGGAGCGAGGGAAAGGCTGCTGGCCCTGGGGGAAGGAGCTGAACTCCATTCTGCCTTTGCTGTCAGCCAGGCTCTGCAAGGGATGAGTGTTTCCCTGAGAGGGTGCTGGGGAAGCTGGTGAGAAGGTGACTGTGTCATGTCTAGTGTCCTGATGCTTTCTGTGACACCAGTACTAGAAAACCTGCAAGGGACACTCGCGTGACACACGTCTCTGCTGTTATAGGTAGGATTATTCCCTGGTAGGATTATTCCCTCCAATTTTTGAGACTCCATGAAGCTATAGAATTTCCAGCCGTCACTGAGAGCACCTTTGTAACTCATGGGGAGTTTTCCTTTACTAGGAGAGCTCTTGTATCTGTTTTCCTCCTTTACTCAGGAATACTTCATCTATCTTTAGTGATCTTGTGGTCTTAATGATCTCGCAGTGTATATTTGGGGAGCTCCTTGATGTGCTTGGTAAGGTAAAATGGGCTTTAAAAAAGGGATATTTGAGCTTTATGCCAGGAAATGGCAGGCTGGCCCAAGGAGAGAAAAACATCCTCTGGGTAAGACACACTGCTTTAATGTTTTGAAGCCTACCTTCACTGCAGAAACACTCCAGGTTAGAGAGTTATGGTTAGAAGAGGAAATCTTACTCAAATGTAGCTCATGCAGTGCTTTTTTCACGCTTCTGCTGCTGGCACGTCCTAGAGAAGCGTGAACTGTCTGTCTTCATCTTGGAGTAGTTTTGATGGTGGAATTAGGCCTTTGGGGTGCATATGGCTTACCATATCCCAGTGGGCCTGTGCTCACTCTCCAAAGGCATGTCCTCCTCCTACACAAGATAAATCGAGGTGGTGTACGGAAGCTGACGCCATGTGAGGCTTACACACAGGCAATTACTCTAGAGCTGCTGACTATGATAACATGTTCGTGTCCCGGGGCTCCTGCAGATCTATTTTAAAGTAGTCGAGCTTAAGTATTTCATTGCTTATCATTTCAGCAGAACTATGTGACATGGGGTGTGGGAGCAGAATTTCTGGATGGCATAGGATGATTTGCGTGCCTAAGGAGTACTGTAGGACAGTAGGTGATTATGCTGTAAAGCATTTCAGACTCTTCATGTAACGATGCAAACCATTTGGTTTGTTGTATTTGCAGTACTGGAACTTCCCAAAGAGCTGTCAGAGATGTTTGATCCAACGAGAGGTATGTTCACTCCCTGACCACGGCTTTGTTCCGTGCCCATCTACCTACAGAAGTGGCACAGTTTGTTTTATTCTTTCCCTTTTGGATTATTTTGGGGATGTGGTTTTGTGAGGTGCTTGTGGTCGTTGGTGGCTGCTGGCTCTCTACTTATAGTTAGGCACTCTTAAAATTACTGGTTTCTGTATATATCTTTCTGTCTTCATGTTGCCAGCAACCTCTGTTAGTTTGCCCTACAGTGTGTAGATGAGGGCTTTCCCTTCCCCATGCCAATGCTAATCTGTGCTCTGGCTTCCCATGCTCCTTCTCCAACTTGTCTGCACACAAGAAAAATCCCTGTTAGTCTTGTTTCAGCTGTAGCCTGCCCGAGGCTAATCCAAGCAAATAACCTAGGGAGATAGATAGTCTTCTCTCTTCGAAATATCCCTCAGTGGTTTTGGTGGTGCTAGTAATTTTGGAGCAGTAGGGGCGGGGATGCTGTTACTTGTGTTAGGAGTTCTGCCTCTGCCCAAGGAATGTCTGGGTGTCGCTGCCTAATGGTGGGACGGACTCTGGGCTAAGGGCAGGAGAGGTGAAGGAATTTGGTCTAACATAAGCCTAAGCTGGGAAACTCTTTTTATCTGCACGTTTATTTCCCTTCAATGCTGGTGTAATACTTTCTAGCCCCGCAGCTAGGCAGAGCCGAGTACACACAAGCGCTTTGGTGGTGGTGACAGGATATGTACAACAACAGCCCCTAGTTCTGTGCTCTAGCGGGTGCTTCGTGAAAGTGCTGTCTTTGTGTAAAAACCCCACAGTCCCAAATGCACGTGCTCAACCATCTGATCTGTGTGCTGGGAGCCCTGGGCTCCGCAGTCGGTCTGGAGAACACCCTTCCTCCTTGCTCAGCACCCGCTGCTGCAGACAGTGGAGAAAGTCGTGGTAATGCCTGAATGCAGCTGAAGAGGAATTTTGACTTTGTGATGTGAAACATAAACTGCTGCAAGGCCCCAGCCTGTGTAGAAGATCTAGCTTAACCCAAACTAACTATGCTATGGGACTATGTGGACATTATTAAAAGGGAGATGTTTGCTGTCTACGGTAATGTATGTTGTTTTATGGAGTATTCTTCCCAATTTGGAGGGGAAAGGTAGAGATCCAGGAGTGAAGGTCAAAACAGTCGACAGCTACGGAGGCAAAGCTCAGGACTGGAAAAAGCAACACTACAGAGCTTGGAGAAATGGGCCTTGCAGCGTGCTCCGTGCTTTCGTTCCTGTGTGATCCCAGTAATGTTGCCCTGGCACTGGCTATTGCTTTAAGGCTATGCAGTTTAAGCTGCAAGAGCCTGGAGTCCTTCCTTAGTGTTTTGTATTGGAATTACTTTTTCTGCATGGTTTTCTCTCTCTTTTAAATGGGTGCTTAATAACTGCTTGTTTTAAACTCGTATCTTGGAAAAAACCTGAATTGCAACACACACATATACACACCCTGCTATATTACAAGCCCTGATCTAAGAATGCAGGTTCTGCATTTAATTGCTATTTATTGAAGCTGGTATTAGTCCTGGCTAGTCACTTGGTGTTGAAATTCTCATCTCACGGCACTGAATTAGACAGGTATGTTCCTGTCCTCTAGGAAATAGCCTGCTGTGGATAAGCGTCTTGAAAATGGGCTCATCTGAGTTTCTTTTGTGAAAGCCTATTTCAAGTGCAGGTAGTATCTCATCAACCCAGTAGACTGAGTTAGATATTCACTATCTTAACTTGGTGAAGTGGTATTCAGAAAGTTGTTTTCAAATGCTCAGCTTCTTAAAGAAAAGAGATTGACTTGCACATGCTTTGTCTGCATGCTTGTCTGTCTACCCTTCAAGTGCCCTGTGAACCTACTAGCCAAGAGTAACAACGTTGGAGGAAGGAATGACATTTCAGAGATAATTAATTTTTTTACAGTTTTGTGTCGGCGGTAGAGGGGAGAGCAGTTAATGGCCCATTCGGGAAGGATATGCAGAGCTCAGATGCTCATTCTGTTTGGCAGCGGGCAGCTGGCGAATCTGCCAGGGCATATGGCTGGATCAGCCACAGCACAGCCATGGGGCAAGGGGAGCAAATTAGGGGGACAGAGGACACAAATCTGGAGGAAACTGGAGGTTCATTAGTTCTACTGCTCCTGGAACAGCTCATTTGGCTTTTAATTTTCATCCCTTTAGCAAAGTTGCTGGGTAATTGAGGACTGTGAATATGTCAGGCTCTACCAGTTCAATTTCTGGTGCGTGTTGAAGAGTTTCCTTTGGAGGAGTTCGGGGCACCAGCTAGCATGCCAGTGCAGGGGTAAGGCACAGCCCGTCATGTGAAGGAGACTGGCGTACAGTTGAGCTAAAGCAGGCAGAAACCTCCTGCAGAATTTTTTGATGTAGCTTGAACTGTCGGACACGGATTTCCCCTCGCTTGTGGCAGGAGGCCCAAGCCCCCTCTCGCCAATGCCTGCTGCAGACGCTGTGCCTTAGCCAGGGAAGGGACAACAAGGGTGAGGGCCAGAAGAGACTGGGAAGGGTGGGATACTGCACGGGAGCAGACCAGGAGAGCAGCGTGTGTTGCTTAACCATGCCTGTCTCTTCCCCAGAATGTATGAACTCTGAGCTGCTGGAAGAGCTGATGTCATCTGAAGGTGAGTCTTTGAGTCTCCCCCCTGTGGTGTGGCCTTTCCAGGGGAGGAAGACCATCTTGTGTGACTTTACCCAGCTGGCAGTCTTGTGACTGCAGGCTCGCCCTCATCTTTTCTGGGCTCCGGACGCAGACTATGTTCTCACTGTCCTGCCAGTCCCTGAGAGCGGTGTGAGGATCAGAAGAGCCTGTCTCTTCCATGTCGCAAGGCTGATTTGAAGCAAGCTCAAAGACTGTTACTGCGAGGTGGCCTCCTCGTGGCTCCGCAGCTCAGCGCCCATTGGCAGCTCTTGGCTAGGTGTGGGAGTGCTGAGTTTTGTAACCAACTGGCGGCTTCTCTTTCCCCAGTGTTTGCTCCCTTGCTCCGCCTCTCCCCTCCACCTGGAGATCACGACTACATCTACAACCTGGATGAGAGTGAAGGCGTCTGTGACCTCTTTGACGTGCCTGTCCTCAACCTCTGACTTCTCAGTGCGGCTGTGAGCTTCGCAAACACAGACCGTTTTGTAACTCTTTGGAAAGTGTCTATTTTTGGATTCCTTTTGTGGTAGAGCTCGATGAGTGAGCGATTCAGAGATGTTCTCATATGGACTCAGAACCAAGAGATGCGGACTTGCAGGCCGGGAGCCTCCCCGTAGCTTCTTCCTCTTCCTCTGTTGCACGTGCAACTCACCCTGCCGCATCTCTCGCTCCACTGGATCCTGGGCCTCACTTCAAAGGGTCTGTGTTTTGAGCGTTCCCAGTTCACCCGTAGAGTTTGCCCATGTGCCTCTCCGAGCTTCCTCAAATCTGCATGCCTTGGTTTTTCCTGCACTCCTAGAGGCACTTTGCACCTCCTAGGTACCAGCTGCTACAAGGAGCCCTAATATCGTGGTCAGTTCACAAGCCCGGAGGTAGTTAGCTAGATTTTTTCAATGTGAGC